GTGTGTGTGTGTGTGTGTGTGTGTGTGTGTGAGAGAGGTAGACTTTTCTGTAGACTCAGAAGCGCATCCATCGCTGTGGACTCCAGCCTCTGCTGGATAGGTTGCCGGTTTGGTGACTCAGTGCGCACGACTTGTACGCAGAAGAAGAGGTGGAGTGAATCCATAACAAATCACGATGACTGTGATGCATAAAACAGAAGCCATGAAGCAGCTTCAGTGAAGCCACAGCTTCACAGTTGAGCGCCATAAATGCGCTTTGATGCGTAAAATGATGCGTCCCTTTTTCATTCTTGCGTTTGGAATGACCCCCACATCCTGCAGACATTTTGGAGACCCCACTTTATTCCCCAATCACACTGTGGCCATTATAACATGAGTGATGATGAGGAGAAATAATGTGCGCTCTATTTATGGGTTGGTGCAGACGTCACTGGCGTTCTCTCTCTCTCTCTCTCTCTCTCTCTCTCTCTCTCTCTCTCTCCTCACCTTCCCCTTCTCGTTTTTTTGTTCCACCAGAGCATCTCTCTCCTTCTGCTCTCCCTCGTTTCTACACCGCCCACTCCTTCCCAACCATTGATCCAACCACTCACCACCGCTTCGCCGGCCCCTTCGCTTCATCGCATCGCCCCGCTGCGCTTTTCTGCATTTTCTTTTTTTTTTTAAAGGGCAGAAGAAACCGCACATTTTGGACCAAATATTAAAAAAAAGGAGAAGGGAAGGGAGAGACACAAAACAAAAACACCACCACCATGGCGACCACCGAGGATAAACCGACTAACAAGGAGAACACGTCCAGCTGGAAGGACTCCATCTACAACCCGAGGACCGGGGAGCTGCTGGGACGCACGGCCAGCAGCTGGGGTAAGGATCCCCGTCACACTGCACCCAATCAGGGGATGAGCTCTCACACTCACTGGGTCTATTCTTCATTTGGTCCCTTTTTTAAAAATCCATATAAAATCACTATAGATGTGTTCCTCTTCAGTCTATATATACATGTATGTATGTGTGTGTGTTATTGTGTGGAATACAATGACTGTCATGTAGATAATGGATCAGCTGAGGAGCCATCACAGGCCTACATGAAGGTGTAAAGGAGAAGCCTGTACCAAGAGGCTCACCAAGATGAATGATGCTATGAAAGGTGTGCGTGTGTGTGCACCAGCCTCTGTTTAGTCAGAAATAACCAGGTGATGATGATGATGAGCATCTTCTTATTAATACGTATCATCTGTATTAACAGGATTATCAGGGAAATCACATTCTCACTGTAGACCGCAGCTGATGATGAAAACCCCCCATCATTACCTAATCATATGAGAAGAGAGCCAACCAGCCTCCCTGAGCTGAATCCAGAGCTGATACAGGCCACACATTCATTTTTATGTAATGATCCCTCAGTAAATTCCAGAGCGAGGTAGAAACACGGCACCCTCCCTCCAGCAGCCAGCTCCTATAGGCTAGCACACGAGCTGTCAGGCTGCCTGGGCCCCTGTGCTGCTGTGCAGTAGGATGCTTCATTGCAGTTGCATGGCCGCCCACATTAGCATGCCTGTCAAGGTCAAATGGGATTCCCCTCTCTCCTCTTTCTCTCTCTTTCACGCACCAGGCAGGTGCATTGTGGGATACTGTTGGAGAGGAATGAGAGAAGGGGGAGGTTTGTACAACAAGGAGCTGAGGGGTCCATCCCTTTTTTTTGCCTGTCAACTTAGAGGGCATCCGTGCTGTGAGAGCCTGGATGGTGGTGAACCATTTTGACTCAGATCTTTCCATAGCTATGGCCCCTTTCTTTTTTTCACCCCTCCTCCCATCAAGGATGGAGGAGGCAGCAGCTGCTGTGAGCGCTGCAGCATCTTCCCTACAACTTACAGTGTTTTAAAAATGCAGCATCTCTTGCTGTGAATGCCGGCTCCACGTTTGTTAGCACTGAGCAGCATTTCCCCCCTTGTTCCAAAATGGTTTCTCTCAAAGAGATAGTACATTCAAATGCTCCAGGCTGCGGCCGAGGAGCAATAAAAGAAAATCTGATGGCATTAGTCCAAGCCTGTGTGAGGTTAAAGCTTATAGTTAATTATACATGTCCCTCTCTGCCTCCTTCCCTCAATATGTCTAATTTCTCCTTTTTTTTTCCTCCTCGTCTTGCTCTTAACTTCCTCCAGGCCTCATCCTGCTGTTCTACCTGGTTTTCTACTGTTTCTTGGCCGGCATGTTCGCCCTGACCATGTGGGTGATGCTGCTCACTCTGGATGACTATGTACCAAAGTACAGAGACCGTGTCCCCAATCCAGGTTAGTGTTTCTGGACGGTCAAGGTTTACCGGGGGGGGGCTTTCAGGTACTGTAACTGGCAGCCATTCATTATTCATACTTCCACCAATGAGATGCTGTCAAAATAATGCGCTACATTACAGCTGCTTTCTGCATCGACCTGTTTTGAAGTCTCATCCTGGGATATGAGTGCAGCTGGATGGAGAATTGCTTGTGCATTAGTTACTCTTGTTGGAATCATTTACGATGTTTACTTTACTTATCTGTTGCAGGGCTGGTGATTCGCCCAAATTCTCTGGATATCTCATTCAACAAATCCGACCCGCTAAAGTACTCACAGTACGTCAAACACCTGGAATCCTTCCTGCAAAGTAAGTACAATTCTCCCCCAAAACACGGATAAATTCACCCGGATAAGTACATTAATTCCACTCCACACCGTGTATCTCCATCTTTCTCTCAGGCTATAACGAAACGGAGCAGGAGAAAAATGAGGACTGCACTCAAGGAGAGTATTTTCTGCAGGACGACACTGAGGAGATGACCAAGAAAGCTTGCCGCTTCAAGAGAGCCTCCCTGAGTCTTTGTTCCGGCCTCTCTGACACCAACTTTGGATATTCTGAGGGAAAACCGTGCGTGCTGCTGAAAATGAACAGGGTAACGCACACTTCCACTTCGACTGATACCTGCTTGTGGTTGTCTCAATTTATTACATTACTTTCATTTAATCTTTTCCTCCCTCTCTGCTTCCTTCAAATCCACATTGTTTTAGTCCCCAAAATAAAATGAATAGTTTTATGAATTTCTAATTGTGGTTCATTTTTTCTCTCCCTGTCTCCTTCACTTTGTAGATCATAGGCCTGATGCCACGCGGGAATCCTTACATCAGCTGCACAATAAAAGTAAACCCGTTTGTCCTGACTATGCTTGCTTGTATGTGTATTTTTTCCTTTTTTATTTCTCTCATAAAAAAGCTTAAAGTCTCAGTATTTTCTTTCTGTTCATCTTTCTTTCATTTTTCTTTCTTTTTGTTTGTGTTTTCTTGTGTCTGATTTCTTTCTGCATGCTGTCTCTGATGGCTTTAGGGTAAGAGACATACAGTATGTAAATGATCAGGATTAAGGCCAGTAGGGGTGTTAGCACATTTTTATTATGTAACATCATGCAGGTGCCTCTTAACCCGTCTAAGTGTCATTTTTCAAGTCGTTTTAATCTAATCTGCGTTATTTTCAGCCTCAAACGTCCTTTTTGCAGATTAAAGCAGAACGCGACACATTTTCCACGTAGTCCTTTAAACCTCTTCAATAAACAGCCGAGTCATTGCTTTTCCTTTCTTCCCACATCCCGTCTCTTGTGTTCTTGCAAATATGATAATAATTAAACATAATGCATTTCTTTAAGT